CTAGTGCTGGGAAAAAGATCGATCTAGCAAACGATATATCGATGTTTCATATCCATCGAAAATATCGATGTAGAAAACTTCGATACTTGATATATCGCCATCACTATACCATTAATTCCCCATCACTTGAATTAAAAGCGTGGGATAAGACTGTCAGGTAATTTGCAAATTATTTTAACAATATAATTCAAATACTAACGTAACCCACTTTTCATTTAGGATTTTGGTGTTGGTAGTGTTGTAGAGAAATGGATAAGTTTTTAAAGAGCAAGGACAATGGCGAAGGTAAATATTATTTTACTGCTTATGTCAGCCACACACGTGGTCTGCAGCTTTTGCGTTTTAAAATAATGTAACAAACACGCATTTGTTTGTAGATTGCGACGCGGATAAGGAAAATGGAGAGGAGGAGATACCACGTAAGCTGGACACATAGTAAATGAGAAAAGGAGTTGTCTCAAGCCGCAGCAAGTAGATATGCTGCTCTTTATAAACAAAAATGATTGGACGAAGTAAATGATCTTATTAAATAATATAATCTTTGTTACATAGTTTAGTTTAGTTTATATGAAACGTTTTTTAATTTTAATAAGAAATTCATCTTTTGTTTTTTATATGAAAACTTTTTTTTTAATTTTGGGAGTTATGTTTATGAAAATATCGATACATCGATCTGATACCCATACATAATATCGAAATATCGATCTACGTAAAGATCGATCTTTTCCCAGCACTACTATGCATGTAAAAAGTTATTGCCAGAGGATATTGTGTATTTAATTGTTAGACCTATAATTGGTTCTCAAAAAGTTCTCATTGACAAACAGCCTATAGGCAAATCTACGAGCTAACGTTTTGGAACGTGTTTGTGATCGTCTAGTCTTTTGTGTTCTTGCTTACATTTATAAATAAACTTTTAAATTTTTAAATTTGTCTCATATTCCTCGTGCCTGCGAAACAAGATTGATCTCTATTAAGTTAGCAAAAGCAAGAGTGACCGATCAATTGGAAGGAATTGAAATAGCAGTTCTCGATTGCTGCAATAGAGGAAAAATGTACAAAATTTCAAATGATGCAGGCAATGGTACAGCGATAGAGTCAATTAATTAAACCTGCTATTTGTATGTCCTATATTAAAAGATATGCAAAGAGTAAACCAAAGTTTTCAAAGTAAGAAAATAGATTCCTCTAAATTGCTGAAGGACTTGTTAATTGCGACAAAATCACCGCCGGACGATGACAACGAATGTGCTAGTGATTTTGAATCTCACATTAAGAGAGATCTCTATCTTGGCTACGCATGGTGTGTGTGTGTTAAAGTAGCGTTTCGAAACCTCTTCAATGTTATTATTATCATTATTATTATTATTTTTTTTTTTGTTTTTCATACATATTTCGTTTTTTATAAAATACATAGATATTTTATTGAGAAGGTGCGAGCTTGAATAAATGGCACTTAATACTTTTCTTTTTTTAAGTCGAACAATTTTTAAAGTTTAAATTTTTTTCTTCTTGAATGGCCTCTGGAACAGCGCCCCGGCGACCCGTAGCCGACAGGATTCCAGTAACAAGAGAAATTCTGCTGCTCATTGCCGAAAAGAGGMGCATACGCGCTAGATGGATGAGGTCTCGTCACCCCATAATGTCACTCTGAAGGCACTGCCTAGACATGCGGTTTGCTTCATAGCGTTGGTGTTCAATGCTATACTAAGGCTGCAATACTTCCCTCCCCAGTGGAAACTTGGATTAATCACAATGATCCACAAGCCGGGCAAGCCGGAGAGAGAACCATCTTCTTTCCTCCCTTCGATATCTAAGGTGCTGGAAAGACTTATTGCTGTACGGCTGGTAAGGATTATGGAGGCTTGAAGAATTATCCCGGAGCACSAATTTGGATTCCGTGCTGGTCACAGCACAGTGGAGCAGCTTCATAGAGTTGTCGACCAAATACTAACGGCATACGACAACAAGGAGTACTGCAACACACTCTATCTGGACATCCGGGAGGCGTTCGATCGAGTGTGGCACGCCGGAACACTGCTCAAAATCAAACGGACTTTTCCTGCGCCATATTTTGGACTGCTCAGGTCATACCTCAAGGGACGGCGATTCGCGGTGCGCTTTCATACGGCGTTATCCACAGAAGATGATGTTGTAGCTGGAGTACCACAGGGTAGTGTCCTTGGCCCGCTGTTATACTGCCTATATAGCCACGATATGCCACAGCCTGATATTAGCCTGTATGGATCATCAATGCTGGCCACCTTCGCCGATGACGTGTGCATCACATATAGGTTCCGATGCGAATACGATGCAGCTGATCGCATCCAAGATTATGCAACAAAACTTGCAGACTGGGCAAGGCGATGGAATATTGCCATCAACAACAGCAAATCAGTCAATGTTTGCTATACGCTGAGGCGGAGAACGCCGCCAGCCGTGCTCCTGGAGGGTGATCCAGTCAGTGATGTCATTTCCGCTTTTTTGCCGTCAGATTTGGCTTTTTTATTTTTAAAAGTGCGATTGCGGGAAAAATTTGAAAACAGCGGGCAGCGGGAATTCCAGCTTTTTTAGCAAATTCAAATCGCTTTTTTTCAAAGNATACATTTATATATTTACATATGTATAAATTCTACATTGCTTGCACATAAGCAAATGTATATGTACATATGTATATGTACATACCTTTGCGCTTACTTTCTAATTTGTAAAATTATTGACTTAAAGTAGTTAATTAACTTGATGATATGTATTTCCAATTGTATTTTATATATACTCCTCGTCAATATATATGTATATACATTCGTAGTTGCAATTCAAATAACTCAAAGAGAATGTTGCAAAAAAAAAAAAAAAAAAAAAACAAGTGAAGGAATGCTACAAAAAATAAATAATTTTCATACATATGTGGTAGTTTATTCAAAACTGCTTGCGAGTGTTAGTGAGGTAAATACAAAAGAAACAGAAATACGAAGTAAAACAGAAAATAATGATCACGCACACATTCATCCAAGCGTATTGATACACAATGTGTGTATGTGTGTGTGTGCTACACACACGCGGTGATAGCGAATGGTGTACAGAAGAGAATGCAAAGCGAAATAAAATGTACGATTGAGAACAAGTTTTATTATGAAAATAAAAGCCCTAATAAAATGCTAAAACAGCGGAGAAAACATATGTACATATACACGCACATATATTATATATTTATGATAAATGCGTGTGTGTATATATATTATGTATCCGAACATATACACATACATATATGTACATATACAGAAAAAAAATCAACACAGTTCCATAGACAGCGGAAAACTGGCTAAACGCCATCAAAATGTCTGCAACACAGATACTCACCCATACAACTACAACAACAAAATATCATGAATGCGACGAACAACACAAAATAAAATAGCGTTGTGTGCGTGTAATAAAAACAACAGCCAGACACGCACGCATACAGTCAGCGACCCAACACGCAAAGCGTGCACAACAAAAACAACGTGAAATTGCAGTGTAAGAGTGTATGTGTGACAAGCCGTCGTAGAGTATATGTATATGTTTTTTTCATTTTTCTTTCAGTTTCTTTTCGTTCGCTCGTCGAAGCGCAAGTGTTGGTGAGGCTACGACGCTCTGTATTTAAAAGGACTGGTGAACTAACACAACCTGTTAATATATTTATAAAAATATAATATTTAATCCAACTAATTACATTTTACACACAAAAAGGCGCAATATTAATCAAAGTTGTAAGCGGCTGCATGCTGGCAAAGAAGAAGAATAAAAAAAATCACTCTTCTCTCTCTCTCGAATACTCTCTTTTGATCATCGGTCGTTTCACATGCTCACTGAAAATGCTATGATTAGTGTTATATTTTGCACACGCGCTCTCTCTCTCTCTTCGCTCTCATACGCTCGCGACTTTCACGAAACTGTAATAATACCACAAAAATAAAAAAGAAAAAATAACATAGTAAACAAGGCAAGCCACATTATAGTAGTGGTCGTATTGGTGTAACTGTGAATGTGTGCAAATTGATGACAATGAAGCGCGTGTGAGGCGAGCAGCGCGTAAATCGGGTGCAGTGAAATAAGTTTGACAATTTTGCAGTGTTTCGTAAAACAAAGTGCAGCTAAAAATAAATGTGTATGCATGTACATATACATACATATGTACATTTGTCTATTATTGCCTGATAGCCTGATTCTAGTTTGAATCTGTTAAGACTTTCTTACAGGTATGGTGCTAAATAGAGTGCATATGCATTCATATACAAAAAAGGCTTAAAGTGGATATCTTTCAGCATGCCAGGAATAACGGCTTCCAATTGAATGTGCTCCTAAGAAAATACAAACATACATATTTATATACTTGTAAGCTCTTAACAAGAGATATCGCGGCTTCTAATATGGATGCACAATTTGAGCACTTGTGTCGCATTTGTGCAGCAAACACAAAATGTAAAAGCAATTCTGTTGTCGAAAGTGTTTTTATTTTCAAAACAACTGGCCTGAAGGATAAAATAGCTCGTCATATCTTCCTCAACGTAAGTAAAAAAAAAGTTTAAGAATCTTAACATGAATATTCATACGAAAATATGTATAATTCATGTATATGTAAATTTCCATAAGCACAACATACAAAATGAAATTATTTAACAAATTTCTATATTTATACAAATACAAATACAAAAATATATATTAAATGAAAATATATATGTATCATGTATGTGTACATGCATACCATTATACTATTTGCGTGTGGGCGAAAATGTCGGTTGGGTAAAGTAGGCAAAGAAAAATTTTATAGCAAACAGTGAGAAACAGCACACAGCAAAAAATCTCGTTTAGCAATAGCTAGAGTTAGTGTGTGCGCGGACTTTGAAATACATGTCTGTGTGTATGTTTGTGTGTGTGTGCGTGTGCGCTCTTCAGCACATGTGTATAATAAAGAGTAATTTCAAAATACTGAAAGACAAAAACGAGCTGCGTGAGCTTACCTCCTGCATGCATGATTTCTTCTCTCATATTGTATATACATATATACATATGTAGTACAGCGTGCTTAAATGTATTAATGACAAATAAATTCATGCGGGAATGACATAAACATTAAAATGGCTTGTGTACATTTGCTAAACCAAATTAAATTTTTCCATATTTATAATGTTATTGAAACTTTTATTTACAGGTTGCCGAAAATGATCCCCTACCTAAAGTACTTTGCAAATCTTGTTATCGACAGGTGGAAGCTACTGCTTCACTTTCTAATATAGCCAAGCACACACAGCGTGTATTTCGAGACTTTCTGCTAAGCACAGTGGTATTTGCAAATGTATTTATCATTTTTTCTGAACAAAAATAATATCTAGCCCTTCTTTATAGCCTAAGGAATCGCGCCAAGCGACAGCAGCACTTGTTAACGAGTCATTAATGCCAACAACACCTGCGCAGGAGATCAATGAATCCATCCAGAATGAATCCAAAATTAAACGCAATTTCGGTTGCGAGGATAATAATACATTTCATCCAATATTGCTATCGCGTCCTTCGGACCAGACTTTTCCTTCTGGCTCACATCAACGGATTGGAAACGATAAACATAACGATGTTGTAATCAGTTTGACCAATAAAGACAGTGAGATTCATCAGCGCCATCAGCAAAAGCGACAAAGCGATGCGCCTGAATACACCCACAGCCGCAGTAATGTTAAAATGAATAGTCTAACCCAGCCGACTCGGCGTAATAGCGTTTTTGGGGACTCACGTTACAGTTCAGCACCGATGTCAATAGCTCAGCGTTCAATGCAACTGCCGCCCTCTTTAGCACCAATACATCCGGAGGTGGCGCTTTCCAAAGTCACAAAGTCACATAGTCCAGAAAAACGGCATTCACCAGCAGGTGTTATCAATTTTATTCAGACCCATGGTCGCATCACAGGTAGTGCACCTACAATCACTACTACTGAAGTTAATAAAGGATACACTGCCGGAAGTAGCATATCTACCCATGCTAAAAAACTTCAAGTGCCTACTTCCGCTACACAAAAAGTTAGCATCGCAGGCGTACCCAATCTGCCCAAAAGCGTAATTCAACAAAAGCAACGTAATCTTAAAAATGCTCTCAACAACATCAGTGCCATACGCGACGGCCAGGTATCTCTATTAAAAACATCTCACCAACGCCAGACTTTAGAAGATATTGATATTAGGCCACTCGTTACGACCACAGTAGTGCCACACCAGTCGTTGTATGGAGTTGAACCTTCTGTAGAGGAAGCGCTCCCAGAGCATATCATTATAGCTGCTCCTAAAAAGAAAAAGGAAGAGCCTACCACTTTGCCCCTCAAAAGTCCACCGAAATTACAAAAAATTGGAGCATCACACGCAAAAAATGTTCGGGCACCTCACGATGTCAGTTTAATAGCAGAAACAACACCAGTTAACAAATCGAAAGCGCTACCCAGCATGAGCACCCTAACCGATGCCATTTCCCTTGGCAATGTCATTCGAGATCCAGACCTACTGAAACTAATACTTAAGGCGCTTAAATGGCCGGTCACCGCTGGCAATTGTGACGAGCAAATGGCAAAACTAAAAAACTCAAAATTTGCAGTAATTATGTCGGATAGTAACCTTCTTCAAGATAATGATCTAACACAGCTACTGGGTCCTTATCTTGCTCCAATGATGGCTATTGTCCAGCAACAGCACAACAATCCGTCCTGCAATTCGAATAAGACTCCTTCTCCACTTGCAAGTCCATCAGCAACCGCTGAGCTGCAGACGATAGGGGAGTGTACAATGCCGTATAAGTTACCACCCGAGACTTCGGTACAATTGGTGCCGTCTAGTCCGACAGATGAAGCGCACCCACAGCCACTAACAAATAAGCTCGTGGATTCGAAATGCTCACAGCGAAAATCACGTTTGCATGATTTAAGTGTTAATGAACCGCCGAGCACTGAGGACATAGCAACGACATCAAACGCTACACTAGTTGCAAATGAATTGCTCAACATTAACGCCATGTTACTGTCACAATTTAGCACAAGTCCAGCTGATGTTCTTAACGAAGCGCTAAGCTCGATGCTAAAACAGCAGCAGGACTCGAAAATTCAGCGCTCATTACACCGGAAACGCAGTTCTTCAACGACGAGCAATGCAATAAATTTAGAAGATATTGTTCTCGTTGAGCCCGAACCATTACATGATAATCCCTTAGCGTCTGATAGAGATGTTTCAACGTTTACAATACCACCTCAAGAAATATCTAACCCTTCCCCAATAACACGGCCGATCATTAAGCGCCGCAAGGCTGTAACAAAAACAGCAAATAGAGCAGAGATTTCAATGCCGAAAGCAGATGAAAATAATTCTAAGACTGAGCTCAAACAAGACAAGAGAACAGATGAGATCATTTGTACTAGCGATCCTTCTAAAATCGTTGAAATTTCTACTGTCGATAACTTAGTGGAAACTCCACAAGCACCAACCAGTACAGTACCAGAAGTTATTTCCAGTAGTATCACTAACATTGCAGTTGAAAGTACCGGTGAGGAGATAGAGACCAACCTTGCCACCAAAAGCAAGCCTAACAATCCAATGGCAAGCGTACGTAAAACGAATGTTAAGTCAGCTCTCGGGCAAAAACTTCTAGAAGCTATAGGCTTACCACAGCCTGGAAAGGATGCTCTCACAGAAAGTGCCCGTGACACGTTGCGCAGTGCACTAAAGCGGTCACTAAAACAGGCTCAGGAACAGCAGCAACAATTAAAGCGCGTTAAACAAGAGGAGCCCGTAAAACAGATGGCGGATTCAACTACTAAATTAGTTGCTTGTGAATCTTCTGAGGAGCACAAAAAAGCAATTGCAGAACGCGAATTAGAACTATTAAAACGCAAAACAAAGAACGCAGATAGAAACAGATTATCGATCAAAGAGTAAGTACACTCATTGCACGCATTTTAAATTCTTGACTAATATTAGTATAATTTTAGTGAGAAATCGGATCGACCTGATGTAAGTTCATCATCGTCACGCAATCGAAGAAATCGTAATAAGTCGAAAACCGACGTTCATGACGATGACTGCTGCAGTGAAGAAAAGAAAAGTGAGCGATGGGATGAAGATGATGATTTGCCTTTGAAAACAGACCCTGAAAAAAACTCGGAGCATATTAATCGTCCTACGCGCACTAGCAAAACGATGTCAAAGTATTATAAGTCTCCAAGCGTTGACAAACCGCTGTCGAATGCGAAGTCGCAACATGCTATGGGAAGGCGTTCAGCCAGGCAACGTTAGGTTGTTCAGCCTAAGCTTAAATTGTAAACTAATCGGGCTTTGTCTGACATATAAAATATGCTCAGAACTTGTTACACTTTTAATATTTTATTAAGACGCACTGTACACAGTATATACGTACTTTATTTATAAATAGTTTAACTATTATTCAACAAGAGATAAATATATTAATTGTCCTTATCGACACCCAATTTATATAAAAGTCGTATTTATTTTCTTGGGCTTATTAATTTTAACCAATTTGTTTGCTAAATATCCTTTGTAAATTGAATATTTAAAATATCAATTAGCGAAAGACAGAGAGAACTTGAATTTTAATGAATTACATATTGACGCAATTTTGAAACCTTCAACCTTCAAATATGAAAGGAAATATTTAAATTATTTGTCTACATTTTTATTAGATAAAATAAAATTAATGTAAAATAAATATTCTATCCCTAGGACATTCAACTAACATCATCATCTCTACACATATGCGATTTTTCAATTGAATGGAAATTATACCACATCCGTCGTACAGTCAATGACAATCCTTTGTTTTTATTTTTAAAATATTTTAATAGTTATATACCTAATTTTTCAGTAAATGTTTATCAGTTGGTGCACAAGTTCTGCCTGAATATCCCTCTATAGATGAGGTGATACGGTAAAACAATAATAAAGATAAAATACTGCTTGGGTGCGATCTCTCTGACTCACCCGAGCGTCTGAGCAAATTTAGATATGTGTGTATATAACAACCATATACAAAGTAAATTATAAGCAAAAACAATTAGTTGGTCATTTTTCGCGACTTGCAACGGTTGTAGAAACGACAGAAAACCAATTTTGTGTGCAGATTCTATTTTTGCATTTTACATTTATTTATTTGCATTTATCACACTACTATGTACGTGTTCTCAGGCTCGTTGCAAAGCGTATAATTAAATTTTGTATTTTTAAGGGAAATAGTAGTTTTTGGCTCAATGAGCTGCTGCTGTGGAAAACGGAAGCATGAAGTGGAGCTAGACAGTAGCGATGAGGAAAACTTTTTTAATGCAAGCAGTAACGATGTAAGTACATATATCTACATATTTTAGTGCAATCTTCTTTATTACCGCAACCGTTAGAAGGGGCTTTTTTAAAGCTCTATCAATAGTTAAAATTTCCCTATCTTTGATTTGTTAAATCCATGCGTAGGCGTTATCAGAGAACTACTACCTGTGAATGTATATCAAACCTTTAGTACAAAACAGTCGATAATTTAAACGCAAAGTGGTTGCACCTTGGTGGACAGCTGACCACTTTTTCATCAAGAACAGGCAAAAAAGCTTCTAATACATATTTTTCGTGCTCAATAGAGAAGAGCAAAAGATATAGAGAGAGACACACACATCGACAAACTGTATATGTGTCAAGGTGTGTGTATGCGTTGTATATACAGCTATATACATATAATCAATACACATGATTACACAAAAGAAGTGTATGGTGAGAGCAAGCGGATAGAGAGCAAAGAGAGTGAGAGACCACATTGAGAGCTGTAGCTCCAAGCATCTCAGAAACGAGAAATTCTGTGACGCTTTCTGTCAACCGGTTAGTATGACTGCAATCACGTTGTTGATACGCGAACTCTGCGATCTGTCGGATGCATTTTGGCACAGCCATTTCAATTTCGTGCGAAGTTTACAATATTACCATACCAAACGCCGTCTGCGTTCCTTTTGGTTTTACTGTCGAGAACACTGGTTGTATCAGTGCAAAAGCCCACCAGGCTACAGCGAAATTGAAAGCATGCAACATGCTACGGGAACACAAATAGACTTTGCAGCTGTTGAAGCGAGCGCAAGCTACCAGCCCTTTGAAAACTTTGACCACCAGCAAATGGAATGGTGCAATGATATCGAAATTGTGAATGGTATGGATTTTAATGTACGTAAAGACAACGTAAGCTTTTAATATATAAATTATTTCGTTGATATAATGAAGAACATACGTGCATGCTTATGTATGTATTTATATACGGGCTACGTTTGGATCTGTAAATGCCTTCAATTACGTATTAGTTAAATTTAAAGTTATATCAAGCATGCCTGCGTTGTCTGTCGATGAGCGCAGCTCTCGTTGTTTGTTCGTCTATTTGACATTTAGCGGGCTCTCCTTCACTTATTCTGTTACTCATAACGACGAGAAGCTTTCGAGCTTTCGCTCAGCTGTTATTTACAGTCGTGGGCCACACAATAGTCACACCGTGCCTTGTTCTCATTATTTACTTATATATGTATATACTTTAAGTGTAAGTTTTGAAATATGTATATACAAATGCTTATGTACTATTTTGCCAGACATCATCACTTTCGATAATGTGTTATTGTTTATGTTCATACATACATTATATTATATTACCGTCCAATGTACAACAGACAACATACATATGTATGTATATATGTACATACAAATATGGAATACGTTTTTAGATATGTATGTATGTTTATATAAGCTTTTCAACATTGCGCTTTAGCTTTAAGTCTCTCCTGTTTTGGGCGACACAACCAAATGTGACATCAAAATAAGTAAAAACAATTGCGGCAGTAGTGAATAATGAAGAGTCAAACAAATAACTCAATAAAGTGGAATTTTTCTAGCTTATTTAGAAAGTTATTATTAACTGTGATAATATTTATGTATTTATTTTAGTAAAAATCTATAGTTCACAAAGTTGTTTTTACTTTTATATACATATGTATATACATACATACATACATATGTCTTGTTACTTATAACGGCAAAACCCCTGCATATACATACATACATACATGCGTATATTTTTACGTTATTAAATCCGTAAAACCAATTACACTTGTTGCTGTGATTAAACATTTATGAGATGTGCTTAAAGACATTGTGCAGAAAACTTTTTAGTTTTTGTCATCTATATAGTAAGGGTGGTTATAATGAGGTAAGCGCGACTCTTTCTATATACTATATATTAGTGACATCGATTGCTTTTAAATAATAATAGACGATCTTAACTTTCTTCAGTGTTACTACTCACTAGTAGGTATTTGGTTTATGCCAGTGAAGTCAGAGTAGGCTGTCTTTATTTGTTGCACATTGGGTTTGAGAAATGTCCATGTTATCAATTTTTGATATTTTAAATTTTGATAGTAAAAGTGAACAGATAGACATTGTCGTAATGTAAATAATTTCCAAATGGAAGCACATAATAATAGCATTATTCACTTTAGGCTTCCTTTTATGAATACTCTGATGCACTGCCCAAATTTTATACCGATGATGTTGGTGAACTCTATGAAGGCGTTAGCTTCACGTTTAGTGGAAAAATTTCAATTCACTGCGAGAGGTGAGTAATTGAGTACAAATCACAGATGTTGTTCACTAAATTTATATTTATCCTCAGGTTTTCCATCAACTTTATATACGATAATGCGACACGGGATGTTGCCTTGCACATTAATCCCCGTCTTCCTCAGAACTACATTGTACGTAACACCAAAGTCCGCGACGTCTGGGGCCGTGAGGAAGTGTCTTCGGCGTTACCGTTTTTACTACGTCGCGGGGATAGGTTTGCAATACAAGTGCTTATTACGGATGCATGCTATATGATATCGATCAATGGCAATCATTTTGCTGAATATTCCCACCGCCTTCCTTTGAGTGGTGTTAAAATTCTGGATGTGAAAGGCGACGTGGAAGACGTGAAAATGGAGCGTACCGTGGTTCAGGCTTACCCGCAACGCTTAAAAGAATCAGCGGTACGGATCATAGAAGCTCACCTCTCTGCAGAGGCGGACGAGGTTGATGCCAATGTCGAGGATGTTATTAATATACCTCATGAATGGTGCCTCATCAGTGCACCCAGTGCAAAACTTGCAAACAATTCATTTAAGTGTCATCGCAATTCTACTGATCTAGGGCTTACGCTTCCATACTATGGGACATTTTTACCAAAATCATTGCGAGAAGGTCGGTGCCTAAGGATTGATGGTCGTGTTCGCCTATTACCACATTCGTTTTACATAAATTTGCAACAAGGTCAAAATATTTGGCCACATCCCATTATTGCATTCCATTTGAATCCACGCTTCTCACAAACAAGCACTGATGCTATAGGAAAAGCTATCGTATGTCGTAACGCTTGGTATAATGGATCTTGGGCCGAAGAGGAACGCTCTGAACTGGACACGAATTTTAGTCCGGGTCGTACATTTAGCTTGGTCATTGCATGTTCCGCGAATTCGTTTGAAGTCTATGTTAACCGACAGTTCCTTACTGAATTTAAATATCGAATTCAACCAGATATTGTTGATACGGTATATATACAGGGTGACGTAAAGCTCTGGAATGTGACACTAGAAGTCAATCCATTTATTAAGGGGAAAAATGTGCGCATCTATCATAATCCTTTACCTTTAGAAGAGTATTAGATAAGACTTTAGGTCGTTCTCTTCCTGTTTTCTTGTTATAAGCTTAAGTATAAACCAGTTGCCTTTTAAGACAATAATTTGCTTTCGATTTAAATTTTTCTATATGTATAAACAAATGTTTGTCTAAAAGCATCTTGCTATATGTTGCTAGAAGCGTGGTCTAATAGACGGCAGCGATCCGTCGATCGGCAGTCATTGCCTTCGATTAAAATTATGCCTTGGTGCTTTTGTTATAGATTGTTAATATAAATATGTTATAATCTCCTTTTAGAAGTTCGCGAAACATTCATTTAAGAAATAAATAAATTTTAAGAATGTTGGTTCTAATTATTAAATCAATTGTTTTCTTCTCATATCAAATATTTAAATAACAGTAAAATTGTTCGCTAATGTGATGTGGTTAAAATAAGCCATTAAATTCATATTATTTTTATCGGCTATTATCGATAAGTAGACGATATAAAAACTAATGATTACGTTCAGTTAAGGAAATTTTCAACATCACGTATCACAAATCACTTTTATTTAAAATACTATATATATTATTTATTTTAATTTCAAGGTTAGACCACAAATAAATCGTCTCATACTGTAAGAATTTATGTATTTAAAGCAACTCTCCAGTGTTGTTAATCATGCAATCTTTTTATTGACACTTTCAATCAAAACATCATCTCTATAGCAATATAGAAAATATTCAGACATTTCGCAAATCCACAACAAAATTCAGTTAAATTATAGCTTGATTAGTTGTCCCAAACTCTATTACAGGACATAAGTCTACATTGTTTCGGTTAAACATTGAGAGACAACCAATTGACGACTTTTGGAAATGCCAATATTTGAGTATGTGTAAAATCCATAGGGGGCTGGAAAGCCATGAATGTATACAGTGGCGCTCGCAGTATTGCCTTGAGGCGAGATTTGGATGCTTTGTCCGTATTCTACGAAGAACGAAGCGCTGCTAATCTTAAGAAACAGTTTAAGCTGAGTAAGACAGCTTGTCCTGGACTAAGTTTCCTCATTCATGGATTAATTCTTCTTGATTGCGAGCACTTTGTTATTGATTTTTTGGCAAAGCCAAAAAACTTGAAATGTGAAAGGCGCGACATTATCTTACAGATCGGAGCACGCCTTCCACAGAACTATATCATACGAAACTCGCGGATAATGGGCAAGTGGGGCCCAGAAGAAAATTCCTCTAATTTACCTTTTCAACTCAAACGTGGTAAAACTTTTTGGATGCAGGTGCTGCTGACAGATTGCTCGTTTTTCATTTCGGTAAATGGCTTTCACTTCGCCACGTATAATTACCGAATGCCTTATAAGTGGATAAGCGGAGTTGATGTGCGCGGAGATGTCTCTGACATTGTCATAGACATCTTCCATGTTACGGAATATCCAATTCGCGTTAGCCGTAGTTTGCCGAACGATTTGCCATTTATCAATGATTTTTCAAGAGAACTTTTGCTTCAGAGCAGTCAAAAAAAGCCGAATAAGCTACAAATAATTCAAACTCCAGTTCAATTCGTCGATCGTCCTATTGCTAAAGCTTTGATCGTACCATTCTACGGGCGAATGCTAGATGATGAAAAACTAATTGATGGTCGTATGATGCGCATCGAAGGTCGCGTTCGACTAATGCCACAAAGTTTTTGTGTAACCTTACAGTGCGGGCAGAACATTTGGCCACACCCAACCATATCGTTGCTATTTAGTCCTAATTTCCTACGGAGCAGTCGCACCAAAGTGGGGAAGGCCATAATAACGAGGAGCGCCTATATAAACGGTAAAGAGGTAAATCGTGAAGTTTCACGTCTCCACACATATTTGGGACCGGGAAAAGCATTTGTTCTTATAATCGCCTGTCGGAAGAACTGCTATGAACTATTTGTCAACGGGCACTCGATTCTGACTTTCAAGCATCAGATGAATCCCGCTGATATTGATATGGTTAACATCAGAGGTGACGTGAAGCTCTGGAATGTTGTCACCGAGGTCGGCACGCTTCCGGGGCGGGTCCGCCGTACGTACATATATATTTAATATTAATTTTTAATCGACTAATTGATTTACCTACAGAACGTGCGATTCTCAGCTCGGTTGCCAAAGCGAAATAAGTACAAGATTATACAAAAAGATGCATGCCTAACAAAAAGTTTTATGTCTTAACTAAAACTATAAATTAAAATTATAATCGTCAGCTGAAAGAAATTCAAGTTTTATTGTAGAGCGCAATATTGTTCAATAGTAAAATCGTTCGTATGGCTGCTGATTCTTTGGTTTTTTAATTACTCATCTGGTGTAACGAATAGATGGCAGGCGCAATTTATAATTTCATCTTTAGCAAACAATTCTACTACAGCATTTCTGCAATTAAAATGGCAACTAGCAAATGGCAAATGGTAAATGGCACCGCGCACTTTAAGCAGGTCTGGTTCAACTGCAGGGCGCTTCTACTCATAAATGTCTACGTACTGTCAAGTCGACCGCAGCCCATAATAAAAACGCAGGTGGACTGTCGTAGAGGTATTCTTCAATTGATTATTAACAAGTAAGAAAGCTCTAGTCGAGACTGCTCGACTAGGAGATACCCTGAACCCTCTAATCTGATATTCCAATCATTCTGCACTTCTTTTATGCACACATACATACACATGCATCCACACACACGCATAAGCCTGCGCTCTGCTAACTGCGCAGTAAGCAGCGACTGCGGTTGGGCTGCGCTGCAGTGTGGGCAATATTATGAGAATTTNAGTATGCATGCCAAATTTCAGCTCTCTAGCTCTTATAACTTCTGAGATCGACGCACTCATACGGACGGACGGACGGACGGACGGACGGACGGACAGACGGACAGGGCTATATCGACTCAGCTCGTCACGCTGATCAAGAATATATATACTTTGTGGGGTCTGCCACGCCTCCTTCTGCCCGTTACATACTTTTTCACAAAACCATTATACCCTGATTTCCCATTTTCAATGGGTTCAGGGTATAAAAATGATAATCGATTAAGGACGCCTCCTACCAGTTTTCGCTGCTGTGTCTGTGGGCCCGCTGCGCCCAACTGACATTTATGTCTGCATGTGTTGAGCAAGACAGTTGACATTGTTTAGGCATTTGCAGCAAAAAGCGGTATCAAAATGAGCAGTCCCAAAACGTCGCAGAAGACGGCAAATATTTCCCAAGGTTACCAAAGGAAGTCAGCTTGATATAGCGCAAAAAAAAACTTAATATTATTTATGGTTCAAGCTCGAACGTGCAACGCATTTTTCATCTGTTTTGGTAATGAAGTGGAGCATTGCCAGTCCAGCTACTGGATGCAACTGACTGATTGTTTTCGGCGTGGTTGACTATACCATATACCATATAAGTTATCTATTTCCTGCTCTCTTCCCTAGCTTGACTAATATTCATAAATGCCGCGCGTAAAGTACATTCGATGAAAGATTTGATTACATTGTTAATATGGCTTCGATGCGCTAAGGATCACATAGCTCCCACTTTTTGTATAGCTGATATATATTAATATTCTCAATATCGATTGCTTCGAGCGAATGCGCCTCGATTGACAGCGGCTCGGTCGACAGGTAGGTTTGCTGACGGCTCCAATTTTTTGTAATTAATCAAATTCAGAATTAATTATGCGTTCATGGTTAGCGGCGGTCAAAAATTTACCTGCTGCTGCTGCTTCTGATGCTTTCAAAAAATGTTCGCTTTACCGCTTCCTCTGCAATTAAAATGTCGTCGCGCCAAAAAAAGTAAATGCCAAAAGCGACCAATGTTCTTTTCAAATTGAAGCTTCCTATGTAAGTATCCTTTGATGATCGAGCCGATCTTCTTTCAATTAATGCATGTTTCGCCTTCCAAGTATTGGCTCTCCAGTAGCTGAAGAGGCGTTGTTGTTTTCTTTTTTTTTTTCATGATCATATTAATTATTAATTTCATATATTTTTTTCAGCTTCTGAACAAAATGGTCCACGACGCCGTCTGATAAGTGTTGTTGATCCGATTTCGCATTTTACGCATAACTTAGTCACCCCAGTAATTTGTCACCATTGATGGCATTATTAGCTGCATTTGTGATGACTCACATAATTAATCTATTATGATTCTTTTTAGCGTTGCGCACATGGTAAAATTTTCGTAGGTGTTCGGAAAAATGCTAATAACTGATAGAAGAGTTTCAAATGGGGTGCAATAACATGCAACCCAATTAATTCGAGTAAGCGTTGGAGTCGACATTGTGATCTAATAAGCAGCGATTAGCGAGACAGATACGAAAGTCAGTCGGTGCTACCAATATTTGCAGCAAGTAGCATATCAATATTCCATCTGTGTTCGTCAGTCTCACAGAAGCGCGGAACAAGACATCGCGGCATGGGAAGCTCGGGTAAGACTCTAAATAAAACCCCAATTGACGCTCTTTGCCACTGCAGCAGCAGATGCTTCTGTCAATTGTTTGAAATGGTCAACGGAATGCGACTTGTTTCCCATAAACCGCAATATCACAGTCTTAAATAATAGCCGCTCTCCGACCAAATTACAAAAAAAAATAAAAAATAAAAAATAAAATAAAATAAATATAAAAATAAACATCGAATACTGTTTATGGCATAGGCGCGCAGATATTTGAGAAAGAAGCAACATCTATACCCATTTTGAAGGTACCAAAGCGAAGAGCACATGGAATCAATAAATTTTTGTGTCTTGGCTTGCGAGTGCCCGCTTATCCTCTGGACTCAACTTTGTCCGTTGCTTTAATCATACTGAGTGGATTTGAAGCGCTGCCAATATGTCCAAGGACCTACGTGACATGGCTGACCTAAGTAAGTCATTGAATAGTAATACAAATAGTGGGCTAAACCTCTGCATTTTAATAGGGCCATAATCTTGCATTAAGACATGTAAATATTCAGTCAAAAAGATAATCTCTGTACCGAACTATCCTAATGACACAAAAAGTATACCAGATTACTATATCCACCAAAGAATTCTTGGTTTGGGACCAAAAATATGATTTAAGTTAACTAGAGATTTATCGAGGTGACTATTTAAGAACCACCAAAAGTGTTTCACAATTAGGCTATATGGTTTTGTGCTTTGTAATCGTAATAGTCACAACAGAGTATCCAACGGTCGAAAGGTCCTCTGCAGTTGGACAGTCATCTTACTTGTTTTCTGGTGCTTCGATCCAGCAACATTAAAACAGTATAAAAGCGTGCCGCTTCTAGAAGCAGACATAAGCTACTGCTGCTGATGGTGGTGCTGGTGCTGATGCTGATGCTGTTGAAGCTGCCTTTTTGTGTAAGCGATAAATTGACAACGCGGTCTGAAACTCGTTCTCTGCCGCAAACTGGAAGTCTGATCCTGCAAGGTTCCAAATTCATGTGTGTGTGGGTCGAAGGGACCGACAGCGTCGACTGGTGCTTGAGCTCCCAGTTTCTCGGAATATCGTTCGAGATCAATCTTTCACTCTTCTGATTGCATATTTTTATATGGTAGTTGGACACATCATTCGCATCCTTTTTCGGCGTTTCACCGCCAGCAACTAGTTGCTGTTTCTCTGCTTTTTTGTATCACGTGCTCCTTCTCTTATACCCTTTACTAAATTTTATAAGGTTATATTCAATGTGAGTATAGCATATGAAGACCGAATGCTACGGACTATGAAGTGTGGATGGTTTTCTAAAATATATATATAGTAAATATAATAATATTATTATAATATTAAGTCTATTGGGTATCTTAAAGTTGAAAAGATTCAATCAGAGCAGAATAACTTTAGTTTCCTGTTCACAATAAAACAAAAATTGAAAAGATTTAAGTACGACAACATTGTTTTATTGATTTAATGCTGTTTACTTTGCATATCTATTTTTATCCGCTTTTCTTAGTCTCAGACCGCATTCCATTTGCTCAAGGTATATCCAGCCTATGTGTGTCAGGTTAAATATCTAAAAAGTGGAAGTTCACATTAAATGGAGCATTCCATTAATAACCATGTCTTCCATTCCCAATGTACAAGTGAATAAGAATTTGTTATTTTTAAATTTATAATATGTGAACATTACTATGCACATATCTAACAACAGTATCAAACAAAAAAAGAAAATCTTAGGGTTCCCATGACATGTAATTATATTTCATACGCAAATTACTACATGGGGGAAGACACACCGGAGGTCTGACTTAAACTACGACACATTGCATGGACACACCGAAGCCAGGCGCCAATTGGCTGCGAGTGTATTTTACGCTGCAACTAGGAGTCCATTTGGAGCTGCCTGACACGGACAATAGCAACTGGTCACAGCTGGCACCAGCGTAGACATGTAAATTATGGCCGATGATAATCATCTCGTGACACGCCTGGACATACAATAAGGGCAACATTTTGCACTGCGTGGGTGGAATCTTAATCCACGCTGCGATTGAGGGCTCCGGCATGGTGCACTTATCTACACAGTATACGTTCTAGTGGACAAGACAGCCAGGTGTTGCCCTTGCACAATTAGCAGTCTTCGCGTCGTCTGGGTCTGGCGGTGACTGTTTACCAATTGGATGGCTAGCAATTCGTGAAATTTTTGGCATAAGCAAGGACGCCAGTGCGTTCTGATAAATGCTTCATATGTATACCAATATAAATATATAATTTGCAAACTATACATATGCGTATATAAAAGATTAGTTAATTGAATAGTCTCAGAGTACAGAAGTATCTTGGCTACAATCCCATTAAAAATGTATTAACAGCCAATTGAGTTGAAGTTATGTGGTTATCTCTTTGTCTTTATATCTATTATTATTAAAAATTGTGTCCCATGTAAAGCGCAGTATGCTTTTTATTACTTATTACTTTTATTGTTATAATTCTAATTCGTCATCATTCCTCCTAGTTAAATTATCGATATTGGCGCCAACCATCATTCGCACGTTTCACTTGAAAACTGGCGACGATTGCTGGTGTAGCGTAGACAAGCCGTCAGCTAGTGGCGTCTGCTTTTCAGGGCGCATGCCTGCCTCAGCCATGTACAAATCAAAAATTGAACTAATGCAAATTGAAATAGTTAACTTCAGGTCTCTAGTCATCATAAGCTTCTTGACTAACTTATATTTTTGAATATCATATACGTATAATGGTAAACTCTAATGTAAGTAGGAGAAGATGCCCTAATTTCTGTTGGCCCAAGTCCATTCTATACCCTTCACTCGTTAAACGGATCCTAAAGTACAGACTATTGTAGGCAGAGTGTTAGTAATGCACATAATAAATACATATAATGTACTTTAGATAGAAACTAATTTCAAGCAAAACCAAATCGATTAACAGAATTTGAGTGAATCCAACGACCTAGTTTAAGCTATACAAACCGAGTGTTAAATGGTCAGATTCGTGGCATAGGGTAGTAACGAGTCGATAGTGACTGCAAGAGTAATCTCATTTGTTTTATTTTAGGAACCTCACTTGTGCATTGCTCGCGGGCGCCAACGGTTCGTGCGTTCCGATGCACAGAGCCAATTCTGTCCCCACCGCTGTCTAGCCCCTGCCCAGACTGTTTTGACTTGGCGTGCAATTTAGCGTCAGTATGCAAATAATTTGCTTTTGCGTTGTTTTTAACTAAGCGACGCCAGCTGTTGGCTCTCCATATATTCGCGCATACGACCATATGTACGTTTGTGTTTATGTTGATACATATATACATATATGGATGTATACGTGCATGTATCTTACGCGTATATATTTATCTGCAACTGCATTTTATTTTTATGTTGCATTTTAAAAGAAACAAAATAAATACATTCTGTTTAAACTTTAATAAGTTAATAACCTTTACTTGATGATTTTTATGCAAACGACAAACTGATTGTAACATCTATGGCAACAAGAAAAGACACAACAATAACGATAACTAAAATCTCACGTTTATGACTACCAACATGTGATATCGTCATCATCATCATCTTCGGATGGAGAAAAAATAAGCCGTCGACACATGGAAGAAGCAGCGCTAAATGTTGCTACTTGTAGTAGCTTTAAATAGAACAATCAACAATGGATCTATTTTTAATCCAGATTTCGCTAATATTTGCGCGAAACTGTCTCGACTGTAACTACCTGCTAGACCGACTTTAACCGCAACATGTGATTCCACATTCTAACTCGTTGTTTCAACTGTTTACCCAAATGCTAATTGTTAGAGTTGACAGTGAAATCACTTTAAGCATTTTAAAGGTTTCTGGACTATTCATTTTGGTACTTGTACTGGAAATACTCCCATAACAGGAACTCACGGGTAAGTGAAGACTTTAATGTGAAACAAGATTTATTAATATAAATAAGAAGCGCCGTTCGAATACCATTTTATCATGCACAGTTGTTTTATTTTTGAGTTCTCTGACCGCATACCCTTTTTTGCCGTTTGCCGAGCCATCGGAATATTAATTAGTTTTAACGTATTTTAAATGCAAGCTCTGCTTCCCTAATTTTTGATGTCTTTTGCTGATTGCTACAAATATTTCTCTTACAAATAAATTTATTTGTGTACCAACCGCAAAATGCGTGCAAGTATTTAAAGCCTGACAGAAGTAAAATTAACTAAAGATCACTAATGACCTCAACTCATCAAACAGAAATTTGTTGATGATAACGATTCGAGTCATGACATAAATTCTTGGTCTCTTTGCCTGGTCTAAATAATTTTCGAGAATATTAATTTACGTCGTAACAAATAGAATTAGAATTTTAAACTCAAAATGATAATGTATATGATTATTAAATGAAAGTGACTATAAACTAGCACTTGCGGAAATTGCAGGCACTGCGTTGCACCACCTTAAACGCCTGCATATTTAATTGTTTAGATCTAGAAACCCGCGGTTGTTAACCGGTTTTTTTTTTATGAATTACAAGCTGATGTAATTCAAACTTGCTATTGCACACTAGGTCAAGTATATGCTTGGGTAAGGCAGATAAACTGAATCTCTTTAATAATTAATGTTCCCCTAGTGCACATGCACCAACTAAGGGTGGTGTGTGGTGTCATAACGCCTTGCTTGCTCATAAGAGATAAGGTAACAATATCTGAGTAGTACTTTTGTGGATGATAACAGGTCGCTCGCTGGCTCGCTCTAGCGTCCCAAAACAGCTTATGGGAACTTGGTACAATTGAACCCATCTACTGCCGTTCGATGTGCACCTGTTGCTCTAACTGTCAACGTCCCTTATCCCCTCTCAACTCTCTTCCATTATTCGATCATTTTGAGGTCCGATAAGATTAATAAATGTATAAAAATATAAAACCCCTATATGTCTGTATACGTTTGAATAGAATTTTGTTTTAGGTGCTCATGCACTAAGGTGAGTAATGGGTCAGTCCCAGCCACATGCAAACACATACATTTCATTTAATTTGACAGTCAATTTTTGTATTTCAGCTTTCTGCTTTTATGGCACAATACATTCTTCACTTTCTTTACTATTATAAAATGAGATTATCAGTTATGCGTAATCTTTTATTCACATAAAGATCAATTCCAAAATTCTATTTTTTCCATTTTCAACAAACATTACGTTTTCCTTAACATTTAATATACCAAATACAAAATAGTCAAATTTTTGCTTGCGTAATGTAATGGAGCCTATTTGATTTTTATTTTTGACAATTATTGGCAATTATTGTCCGAAATTCTTTTCATTTTACTCCACATTACATTTATTGTCTTTTAGAGTTTTTAATTAATATTTTACTGTTTGTACTACGGAACATGTTTTGGCCTTCATTATCATATATATTTTCGTATTTCAAGCGGGTCTAAAATAAGATCACATTGCTGGTTTTATATTCTACAAATATCTTTTGTATCTCGTTTTATGTACAGATCAAATATGCATGTACATATGCATGTATATAAACATACGTATATTAAATTCTCGCCTCCCTCTACTAATCTAGCTTATTTCAACTTATCGAAAAGCTTAAAAACTTTATAAAGCTGATTTGGTTAAATGTGACTTCAGTTTTGCTTGAATTGTGCAATATCCCAATGGAAACAATTACCAGCACAGGAACTATTAGGACGACACTTATGAAACTCTCAAGTTATTAACACGTCACATCAAAGTCTTTCCAAAATTTATAATTCTGCTACTTTATTCTTCCTTTTTCCGCTTTACCTTTCCCTCCGTTTGAATAGTGGAATTTATCGCCTCGATACAATCAGCAATAGTCGGCTCTGATTGGTCTGAGCTATAGTCTTTGTCAGCCAGCCGACTTAGCGTCAGTATGTAGGAACAGGCCACACGCAATACAGATAGCTTCGATAACTTCTGGGAGCTCGCATATGCTGGTACGGCACGGCGTAATGTTTCATAAGCAGCGGAGATCGTATGAACTCGGGTGCGTTCGCGGGCGTTTGCCTCAATTCTGCGCTCTCGAGTCATATTTTTATAGTTCCGCTGCTGCGGCCTTGAGAGGGAACTATTGTGATGATCTTTAAATGAGTCCACCTCCTCGATGGTGTGCTCCTCTAGGGATTCGGTGGACGCAAGGGGTGCCTCTTTGTTGGCGTCCTGAAAAGTCTGATGCGCCGGTTTTTCACTTGATTCGTCCGATTGGGGTTTCCTAGCTATTAGCGCTAACGGTTCTTCTTGTTCTGGCTGCGTTGGGAAGGCTGCGAATGCACGATGTAGCGTTGTTACACCTGGATGACGCATGAAAATGTGCGCAGGATTAGGTAACATTTCACGTGGCAGCACCTGGACGGAGGCAGAGTCCCATACATGTGCCGGAGGCACGTGTGTGTGGCTGATGTGTGATGGTGACTGAAGAGCTGGCGGCGTCAGCATTACGGCTGAATCAACTGAAGAAGAATAGCGTATTCGTTTCTTCAGTGGACCCGAGGGTGCTACGGTTGAGCCATGGGCTAGCGATGAACAACAATTTCTCATGGTCGATGTCGGCTCTACAACCTTCGAGGGCTCCATACTCTTCCGTTTATTGCGGACCATCACAACAGGAGTTTCTTGGGCCCTGTCACATTGCGGCGGATGCTCTAGCGGTAAATCGTCACCGCCTTCGCTTTCTGAACTAGCAGAACAGAAGCCCGCATCGCGATCATTGGAGCTAGGTGAATCTAAAAGTAATAAATACACTTTAATAATAGTTTTATAGGTTTACTGCCACAGTTAATATAAGTAAGTAAGTACCAACTAATCTTGGTCTTATATTTTTAAGCAATATTTCTAATATTCGTAAAAGCGTTGCCGCTATCAACATAACGGTTGTATTAAACAGAGACTTGCTTTATTTATTCGGCATCATGATAAGTTTTTGTTTGTCATTCATCTCACATTCTATGATCTCTGTGAGGTTTCATAATACTCAATATGATAATCCAACCTATGCTTCATTTATTTACACTGATAACAGTATATAATGTAGTACTTAGTAAAAGCTAAGCAAAAATTAATAAAACTGAATTACATATTTAAATGCAATTTGTTATAAAAATTCTGCCTGTTTGCAGTAATGCTCCGTGGGTAATTTCTGAAAACGCAAGCAACTGTGTCAAATTTCAGGCGATCAGGCAAGCGGGTAAAAATAAATAAAGCCCAAAAAATTTAAATTCAAGTTATTCATCGCAAACGAAAATAAACCAGTTTTCTCCAATTTGATCGGTCTACCTACCATTGACCTCCACAGTGAATTTGGCACTTACACGCCCAGTTTTCGCATTTTTTTAGCGACTTAAGAAGTATGCAATTTCAACTTTGACTTAACCTATTTAAAACATCTATTAAATACGGTTCAATAACATTTAAAGGCAACTTCTGGAGTTTTAGTATAATTAGTTAGTTAGAGGCTGACTCACAGGCTTAGCTGTTGAACTGAAATCAAATGAGTTTAAATCATAAATAGGTTTATTGCTTTTCATAGATTTTTTAAATTCTCATTTCACACTTTGTGTGTCTTAACTTCAGCAACCGAACGCACAGACACATGTGACTGTTTTTATTTCTTTTTTTTTTTTTTTTTTTTTTTTTTTTTTTTTTTGTGCATGTTGACACAACTATTTATAACCGCATTTTGCTATCTTTGCTAATTTTAGACCAGAAAGCGACAGAGTCAATTTCAAGAGACTGCAACGACAGGCTGTACAAATAACAGTAGTTAACGGAGTCATATACATACACATCATGTTCCCTGTAGTTATATAAACAAATGCTAAGCTAAGCGACGCGTCGGCGTCTAGGTCAAAACACCTGTATAAAAGTAGTTCTACAAGTTAATATAATTAAGAATACATAAGATAATTGGATAATGTTTTACTGTCTAATCTTTATTTCTTCATACATTCTACATAACGTGTTATGAAGACGACATGCATTCAACAATTACTGCCAACACGCCCACAAATATTGCATACATACAGCAAACAAAGAGCAAACAATCGCAAGATTCTGCCCGAAAGTAGGGTATTGTACCATATGTTATTCACTTAGGACATTTAAAGATTGTTTGATATATATCCGACGTGTTTTTTTTCCACAATCCATGTCTTCCGATTAGCGCTAAATAAAATGCAGTAGTTTAGATATAATTGGCCTTTTTCCCTAAGAATGAATGACTGCAACTTAAACCTATTTTAAAAAGACACATTTTAAATGTATGAGACTGTTGAAAACTGTGTTCTCATGCTAAATGTCAGGCAGAGGTTATCAGACAGAGTCTACTCTGCACTGGCTGCTTGTTAGACTGCTGTCAGGGTTCCGTGTGTGGGAAGCGTGCTCTTATCAGCAGAGGTCTACGCGCAAAGTATAGGTATATAGAGGATGATCTTGTGTTTGTTATAGTAACATGACGAGTCATTTTCATGAATGAAACAAAAAAAAATTATAAGTTCACGGTAAATTAAGGTATGTTTATACGTACTTAAATTTAAATTAAGTGAAACGCTATACAGTTCATAAAGTTCAATATCTCCGTACATTATTTAATTATTTTCTAATAATGGGTATTGAACCCATTCACAACTTATGTTAATTAGGCTTGAGTGCCTAATTGAAAATCTTTGCAGAGAGTTACACAGTTGCCGTGTCCGTGTTAAATTAATTATTTTAAAACAAAATGTCATTGCTTTGAAAAGTTTGTGATAAAAATAAATGCCATATATGCAAAAACAATATATAGTTACTGCTGTGCGAATCGGATTAATTGAAGAAAAACGTTCAAACATATCTGAGAGGCTGACAGAGCTGTACCGTCCCGACGCGTCACGGCAGCCAACCAACCAGCCAGCCAACATTGTACCCCACTCTGTGTGGACCTAAGGGGGACAAGGCGTCCCAAGGCGTCGGACAACTGTACCCCAAAACTAAATGTGATTGCCAAACGGCGCCCCTTTTGGTTGGCGCCGCCGATTTCAGTGCTGCTCTTTCGTCTGGTTCTGGCAAATAACCTAACGCAAAAATTTCAGAAGAGTAAAGCGAGAGTGATTATTCCTCTTAGAAGAAATTTTAAAAGGAAAATATGATTTTATTGCAGTTGTGCTAGACAAATCGAAGCCATCCGTGGTGTTCATTCTATATCAAATTTAGTTAGATATTTTGACTTCTTAGCTTAATACAGTTATTTACAGTTGCTACATGATACGTGTTTATTAGCTCGCCATATAAATATGTGTGAAAACTTGAGCAATATCGGCATTGGTACTGAATTATATGAACTAAAACAATATTTTAACAGCTGTTGTTAGTTATTAGTGGAAACACAAGTAATTTTGTTTTAAATATTTATACTCAAAGTGTGTTTTGTTTGCTGTTTCGGTATATATATATATACCGAAACAGCAAACAAAACACACTTAGCATTAAAGTTGTATGTATATAAGTATGCATTTGGTCAAGTATCGGTATCTCACCTTTTTTGATAATGGCTTCAAGCTCCGCTGCATTCAATTGCATATATAGTTTGTCTGCTTTGACTTCCATGTTGTGAATAAATTTATTGGTATTATAATTTTTAACTTAACGCGTAATCCACAGAACGGACTTGAACAATTGTGTTTTTCAATATTTCATTTGAAATATTTATACACTGGAAAAGTATAAGATCCAAGTAACACCTTAAAAATATCGAATATATATCATTTATATATGTTTATCAATGCAGCGATTGGTGGTAAATCACACAAAAAATAAAGCTTTACAAGAATTTATATATCTCATCGGTATTAATGTTGTTTGTTGCTCACAATATTATTTTTTGTGTTTTATGCACTTGTACACTTTTTAAATTATTCTCGCTTTTGACCGCGTTCTCTCAGAACACGTCCGACAGTCAGCAATACAATACATCTAATAGTCACGGGAGTATATTTCGGTATCGAGAGGCCCAAACACGCTCGCTTCATACTAAAAACAACACGCGCTCGAACCGGTTGCGTTGCAATTGGAGGTGAACACGTGACAAACTGTTCAGCGCGATTATATGAAATATTTGATATATGTATCCGATTGTTTTCTACATATTTCTATCTTCCCTGCAGTATGCCTAGCAGTTAGTTAAAGCTTATATGAAGTCCCTATAAAATATATTAAAACTATAAAAAAAAACCCAATTATATTTTTCCGTAAATACTTTGAAATTTTTCAATAGGTTACTCATTCACAACTCAACTTTTGTGATTTTAAGATAAAGACATACATTGGATATATAATATTTTTGTATCGAATTTAATTATTAGAATATAATTCTAAAATAATACGAAAATTGATCTTTGTTTGCTTTATCATACAAATTGAGTTTTAATCATTTAAATGATTTACCACAATATTGATTTCTAAATTGATGATCTAAATCATCCACTAAAAATACCGTTGTTAAATAGCTCCGTGACACGGCTCTAGTTAAATATAGGCATTTAGATTATAACTTTTCATAATCCAACTCAGCCGTCAAACATGTTCGATGCAACGACCTCTCGTTTTTATGAATGAAACATGACGGAAAGATACATATTTATTAAAATGTTTTTGTCATTGGCAAAATGTTTTTTTGTACATTGTGTTTTCAATCAAATATAATAAAAATTATATTATTTTGAAGTTGTAGCACAACTAAATATTGCCTAAAAGATCGCAAAATGCATTGAGCGAAAAATTGCAAACCATTTAAGTCGGCAAATAAATTGAATGATCAGCTCTAAAATAAAATTTCACTTACAACAGTATATGCAAAATATAATATTAACAATTAGCCTTTTTCGATTGTATAAATACATACATATATGTATGTATATGTATAAATTTGCTTATTGACAACAAACAGCATTTCGTGGTATAAATGTGGATATGTACGTATGCACACATACATACATATTGTCTCGAGTATTTTCGTAGACGTGAAATAAAATTCGAATTGTATGCTTGTCTGTTGCTGCTGCCGTGGCGCCAGTTGTGTCATATTTTCAACTGACTTTTGAATTGCAGCATCTGCGAAGGGACTTTGCCACTGGGACTGACAGACATATTAAGGCACAACTGGCATAACGTCTGGCCTCTGGGCTCACTTTGTTTTGTGGCTGCTGATGATGATGCCACATGCAAACGAGTTGTTACTGAAGCGACTTTTGCGCCAGTCGTCGGGTTGTCATCGTAGTTGGCGTTGTTGCTTTCTGGTGATACTACGCATCTGAGTTCAGTATGCTATAGTCGGCATTCTTTTAACAGATTGAATTGTGCGGATTTCTGCGGCCTTAGTCCGACCCCAAACTCAACTTGATCGACCGGCCGACCGTTGTAATAATGCGGGCACATTGTGTGCTTAGTGTGAAGTGAATTATAATGAGTCAGTGGTGCGGATGCTGCGACTATGGATACTGCCTCTTGAATAGCCAGTCAGTTTTAACGCCGCCATGTGGAATTCCACACAATTGGTCATTTCCCCACTTCTTTACAACAGTTTTGCAACGTTTGCAACACAGACGGCGCATCAACAGCAGCTTGGATAGCCACCGTGTGCTGTTTACATAAATCTCAGGCGGTGGCAATGGCGGCTCGACTCTCAATTTTTATCAAGATGCATGTAAAAGCGTTTGTGTTTGGTCGTGAAGCAGAGGATGGATGCTCCACACAGCCAGTCGCAAACTCTGTGCGCCCAACTCTATGATGCCTATAACGTTCGCAGCTTGCAGAGAGGAGGCTATACTGCAGTGTGGGGCCGGGCCACACGGACTGCCCACGCGGCAGCTATTTGAGTCAGCGGTGATAAGTGTGAGGTTCGTGCTGTCACTCCCAGTGCGCCCGGAAAACAGTTCAGTTTTTTTATACAGAGAGTCAAACTCGCAGTTGGTGGCAAACGCCTCATGCGTTTGCTGAAATAGAGATGCAGCCACAAATGAGAGCTATGCGGTGGGTATAATGAGCACTCTTTATTTGTTTTCAAAAAAGCGAGGAGGCCTTGCTACTGTTAAAGTGTCATAAGTATTTACCGCGCTGAATACTGCATATCTCGATTGCGCACCCGCATCTGATAGCTTGCTAGGTTGCATATCAAACAGCTGGATAATGTACATCAAGTGGGCATGGAAAAACATAATAGATGGACATTGGCAGTTAAACAGACTCTTATGCTAAGATTATTTCATATGTTCTTATTTTTGTTCGTTTAGTGGAAGAGGAAAAACCAGTTAATGGCAGAAGATAAATAATTCTAGGAAAATGTTTATGTTTCACATAATCATGCCTTTTTAAGGAGCTCAAACTAGTCCAGCAGCAGTAAGCCAAAACTTCTGAAATAAGCTGCTAATAACGGTGAGACTCATTCTTGGTAGCTCCATCAGCTATTCTTGCCTATGATCTCTCAGCAGATGTGCAGTGAGCCGAATTCCGTGTGTAAAAATATTGAAAGCATATTAAATTAAGGCTTTCGTACTTTGAACCCATACTTCTCATATTCCCTTACATGTCAGTGTATTACCATACTTTTGATTACAGTTATAGGTCAGCTTATAGTCGACCATTCTCTTAACTCTCGTTTTCAATTTCTACAGCACGATATGACTGCTGGCTAACCTGTTTACCTGTTGCATTCACCAGACGCCGAAGCAGACACAACCCGCACAGTCGTTAAAGCTGAGGGCACGGCGAAGCTTTTCAACTTATTCTTTCTTTTGTCAAGCTCCAAGTTCAAGGATATTGTGTGCATGTCTCGCAAATTCGTATATGTATGTGTAAACGTAATTCAATCGGCTCTTCTAGAAAATAAAATGTTTAACCCGGCTAGAATTACCAAGACATAATGTAATAGCACCTCCATTGCATGGTTCTGCCAAGGGCAGATATAGTTTACAGAAAGTTTATATAGCACTTTATTATATACATATTTTAAATGCTTATGTTTTATATATATTATATTGTGGCGAATATTTCGATATTTAAATATTTCTCCTTATTAAAGCCATTGAATTTTAATCCATTCGCAGCTCACTACCTGCCTGTGCCAGACGCAGCCGTAACTTATATTGTTTCGCCTGAGTCTCAAACACTAATTGCTTTTAGTCTGCCTAATATAATTACTGACGACTGTTTCCAAGTGTAGCGGACCGACCAATTGATATTTTCCGGGTTTTACCCGGTCATGCAACTCAGAACTTAGAGCTCAGGTAAAAGTGACTTCTTAGAATTTCCATAATTAATTTGCACTTGTTTTCCTTTTGCTTTTCTAAATTGTGCACTTCTAATGACTTCGCGCACCTTTTTTCTGAAACGTTTATAGCTTTCAGTTTGGGACCTCATTTGCGTATGATATGCTACTGATACTGACTGATACATAGGAGATATTCGACCATGCTGGTCAACAGTTTTGCTTGCAAAACAATTGGTAGGATAAGTGTTGTATCATATATGAAATTATATAGTAAATGAGCTAGCAATGTTTTCAAATGATATTGATGCTTATATTTCAGATTTATATTATCTAAGCTTGAGCCACATACAAAATAGAATAGAAAAAAAAAAACACAAATTTGGCGAGCGTTAAAAGTCTTTTTTTTTTTTATAAATTAAAACTTATATCAAATAAACAGCTCATTCCTGACATTGACACGTTTATAATAAGCTACCCATTTTCAGCCGCTATCGTAATGTGCACATGTTTATACGTGTGACGTCACAGAAGGGTAGTATGTGCTACGTGCAACATAGGCAACAGCCTGTGCAACAGCCTGGCAACCAACGAGCTCACGTGTCTTGACATTGTCATAATATATACATATATAGCATCGACCTTAATGTTTTGAGCAGAGGCTATCAAAATATTACGAACAAGATTATACTTAAATTTGAGAATATTGCTAAATTCCCAAATTGTTACTAAAGATTTATTAGTTTGATTCTTTTAGTCAAAGAGACCAATATTCAATTCAAATATTAAAAGAAGACATTTTAATTAATTTATAGTTTTAGTTTTTCTGTAAATCATCTCCAAGCAGTTTACCTCAGAGCACGAAGTATCCATTCAAACAAAGCTGTCCCACTGCTGCAACTGCAACAAACTGTTGTAGGAACATTAAACAGGTTGTAACAAACTGTTGTAGCCAACATTAAATAACCTGTAGCAACCTAGAGCAACATGTTTGAAGCGTGCGCTTTTATGTTTGACCCGGACCAAAGAAGAAGTAAGCATTTTAATATGATATAAACAATAGTCTCTTAAGAGTAATCTATTTAATCTGGTAACTAACTGTATTACAGATGTGACAAAAGATATATGTATCCAGCAAAATATGTAAACCCGAAAACTGTAGTATTCGCTTCAAATAAAGCATCAGAATGGGGAACACATATCTTGCCTAGAGACAGGATGGCGACAATATCATAATATACACTGAAATGTGTATGTATTTGTAGTTGCTTATACCCAGCGTCAAGCTTGTGTATTCATACATATGTATGTACACATGAAGGTATGTGTGCGAGGACGGGAGCGACAAACAACACATGTCCGCGTATTGAGACCTTCAGGCGGCGTCAGCTTGACTCTTGCGATTTTTCATGGAAATTGCACAGTCGGCAACCGATGGCACATATGGTGACCATAACCAGAAAAGAAAGTCTAC